GAAGGTAAATATACTAAATTCTTGTGTTCAGAGAGTAAACATTAAATTCTTGTGTTCAGAAGTCATTAATTTCCGGGTATCACCGTTACAGCGGCCCGATTCCTGACTAGGCTTCTGCCGGCATCTTCAGCGAAGCTGTTGGTATTTATGCGTTGCATGCGTTGTTGCAAAGCATTCCGATTTAATTTGAGATTATTTCGAACTGCATCATCATTTTGCCGCCATCCGAGCGTGTTCAGTTTGATTTCCCACTAAAGGGGACAGGAAGCCTATTACGTTCATCGAGGTCCACCCCCTCCCAGGCTAACAACTGACAATTCCCAGAATGCAACCCACAACAATCTCCTAGCTCCAGATACACATTTACTGCTAGGTAAACAGGCAGCTTGTATAAGGAAACATGCCCAAACGTACAAATCTACAAGGGCCGTGGCGAGGATTCGAATTATTAACGAGTCTGGGATGCTCCCGGACGCAGGTTCGAATCCTCGTCACGGCCCTTGTGGATTTGTTCATTTGATGCATCGCGTTATTGTGATCTCTGTGTGTAATGCCCAAACGTCTTCTGTTGTGGTTGCCACGTTCACGAATGTTTGAGTCGGGATGAAGACAAATTTCTCCCAAAAAACTAAATAATACTGATGAGTTGTTTAATATTAAATGTAATTGAATTTTGGCCAATGATGATGACTATTGTATAAAATTTGTATAGATCCCATCCCATGTTGGAGTTGGAAAACATGACTTTGTAGATCGATTGACCAATGAGGCTTGCAGGAAAGAAAACACTGATTATGACTTTGGACTATCTAATGCAGTTATTAGAAACATACAAATTAAATAAATTACCTCAGATTTAGAAGAACTAAGAAATGCCCAGAGACCTAAAAGCTGCAATATTAAAAGCTTGTTTAAAAGCCCCATGTTTTCACCTTCATTGTATTATCACCTGACCTAATGCGGGTATAAAATCAACTAGTATTGTAAGATCTGTTCACTTGAGAATGAACCATGGAGGTTCGAAACGTCGTGCAAATTATACAAATAAGTGTAATACACTCTATAGTAAATCACTTCTTTTCTTCACCTTAAAAGTACGAAAATGAATTTTGGAGAACTCCTATTTCAATTAAGCCCTGATGCTAAGAAAATAGTTAGAGGGATAGAAGCCCTAAACCAGAAAATAATAAATACAGAATATGCGGTCATATTCAATGAAACATGTTTGAAAGAAAACCTGCTGCCAGTATACACCAATATATATATATATATATATATATATATATATATATATATATATATATATATATATATATATATATATAATATATATATATATATATGTACAGTATGCTTCAGCCTACACTTTAGACCAATTGTCTTGTATATGATCCTCTGTCCAGTGCGACAGTGAATACCAGCATTATCCTCTCACTCTAACAAGACCTAATTAAATTCCTCAGATTAGGCAAAATTGTAATTAATTTGTCAATAAAGATGTTAATGATAAAATGCACCAAAACGATCGGATTGCATTTGTTTTTTTCTAGTCTAGCCTAGCCATCAGCAACCTGGTTGATCAGGTTGATCAGTTACCATTGTAATTGAGAAACTCCTAAGTATTTCGCAATGTCAGTGGTGCCGTTGTTGTTTTACATTCGGCTTGCCGGAACAACCGTGGACATCTTCAAGAGGAAACTAGATTTATTCCTCCAAGGAGTGCCGGACCAACCGAGCTTTGGTAGGTATGTGGGCCTGGCCCTCGGGCCGGGCTTGGGGAGTAGAAGAACTCCCAGAACCTCATCAACCAGGTACTCGGCACAGCACGGTCTATTGTGAGCCTGTCGTACTCACCTGGCACAGGAGATGTACACTGTGGTGCCGTTATCACAACCTGTCTAAAAATAATTAAAATACAGCTAATTTAGCGGTTGTGTGAGAAGCGATAAGTAGTATAATTTATGGAGGATGGGTTGTGGTGGGATGTAACCTCCTGGAGGAAATCCCAACACATTCTATGACAGTGGTATCGTTTATGCTCTGCTTTCCTCCAGGAGGTCTTCATGTAGCTTTGTTAGAACAATTTTCTGCCAGATAGCCCCGTTATCAGGCTTATCACTAATAAGGCTGGGCCCCAATTCATAACAAAATGCCTCAGATTCTTAGGGGGGTTTAGAAGTAATAAATCACTATTATAAAAATACCCCTACTATATTTACTTAATGTGTAGATATATATAATATATATGTAACTTTGTTACAAAAAAGGAGTTACATATAGGGTATAAAAATGGTTATCATAAGTTGTCGAGTTCCTCCTCCACCTCAGATGGCGGGCAGGAACCCTGAAATATATATATATATATATATATATATATATATATATATATATATATATATATATATATATATATATATATATATATATATATATATATATATATATATATAAACAATTCCCAACACAACTACTTCAATGCGCTAATCATTACCTGCTTGATGGAGTTAGAGAGTTGTTCTACTCCCCGAGGCCAGGCTTTGGCAATCATTGTAATCATTGTAACGATTATTAGTTTATCTTCACACACACACATGTACTGAATAGAGGTGAAGGTGAAAGTTTCCATGCTAAAGTAATATCTTGGTATTTTAATATCAAATTTGTATATTATAATAGAACGGGTAAACTGATTTTGCTTTGTAGAGATTAGGCCGAAAAAATGAAAGCTATATTATAAAGATAGTGTAAATTACGAAACAGATTAAAGTGTGCATGACAGTACTACAATACTGTGCATGGAAAAATCATGCACAGTATTGTAATCATGCACTTCATGCAATGGCAACCACCACCTTGAGCTAGAGTGCCGCGTAGCCTATTCTACCTAAGGCCGCTTCGTCATGCTACCTCAATGTCTGCGAGTACATTTTGTAAAATCTTTGCTGGTAATACATGAATTCAGCAACATGTCTTGCTAGGCATGCGTGCACGTGCATAGATGCGTATCTTGCTGTTATTACATGAATTCAGCAGCACATCTTGCTAGGCGCGCGTGCATGGGTATAAATACGTATTTGCACATTTTTGCATGGCAGTTTGTCTTCTGCAACAACCGTGATGCACATGACGGAAGCGAACACTAGAGATTAACGTTAATTATTTCTAAGATGATAGTTATTTGACCTATACTCCTATACATTAGCTACAAGTTGAATGCAGAGAGAAGTTTCCGAGGCCAGTGGAACAAACCACCAGTCTATGTAGGTTGTGCTCTTTAGATAGCCTAGTGTGTTAATGCTTAAGGTGCAGAGGCATGCCACGGTTTGTGGCTTGAATTTAATGAAACTGGCCGCTTGGTGTCGAGTCTGTTGGCACGGGAGAAGAAGGGAGGAGGGTTGATACGTGATGGTGGTGACTGTTGATGAGGCTGTAGGCAGGAAGGTGGGTTGATACGTGGTGCAGCTGTATGCAGCAAGGTGGGTTGATACGTGATGTTGGTGACTTGATGAGGCTGTAGGCAGGAAGGTGGGTTGATAAGTGATGCAGCTGTAGGCAGGAAGGTGGGTTGATAAGTGGTGCGGCTGTAGGCAGCAAGGTGGGTTGATAAGTGATGCAGCTGTAGGCAGGAAGGTGGGTTGATAAGTGATGCAGCTGTAGGCAGGAAGGTGGGTTGATAAGTGGTGTGGCTGTAGGCAGGAAGGTGGGTTGATAAGTGGTGTGGCTGTAGGCAGGAAGGTGGGTTGATAAGTGATGCAGCTGTAGGCAGGAAGGTGGGTTGATAAGTGATGCAGCTGTAGGCAGGAAGGTGGGTTGATAAGTGATGCAGCTGTAGGCAGCAAGGTGGGTTGATAAGTGACGCAGCTGTAGGCAGCAAGGTGGGTTGATAAGTGATGCAGCTGTAGGCAGGAAGGTGGGTTGATAAGTGGTGTGGCTGTAGGCAGGAAGGTGGGTTGATAAGTGATGCAACTGTAGGCAGGAAGGTGGGTTGATAAGTGATGCAGCTGTAGGCAGGAAGGTGGGTTGATAAGTGATGCAGCTGTAGGCAGGAAGGTGGGTTGATAAGAGATGCAGCTGTAGGCAGGAAGGTGGGTTGATAAGTGATGCAGCTGTAGGCAGGAAGGTGGGTTGATAAGTGATGCAGCTGTAGGCAGGAAGGTGGGTTGATAAGTGATGCAACTGTAGGCAGGAAGGTGGGTTGATAAGTGATGCAGCTGTAGGCAGGAAGGTGGGTTGATAAGTGATGCAGCTGTAGGCAGGAAGGTGGGTTGATAAGTGGTGCAGCTGTAGGCAGGAAGGTGGGTTGATAAGTGATGCAGCTGTAGGCAGGAAGGTGGGTTGATAAGTGGTGGTGGTGACCGCTGTTGCCTTATACTGGTAGTGTTGCTACCGTCACCTAGAAGTATGTGTTAATTTATTAGAGAAACTATTTTCTGCTGCCCTTATACCTTACTGAATATTTGGTAGTGTTGCTTTGTCTTGTGATTATCCTCAGCGTGAGCAGGGGACTGATCGTGCAGAACATTGTGTAACTAGTAGCCTAGAGCCTACGTTACTGCTCCTTAAGGTGTTACGGAAGTAACGCGGTAGCAGCCTAGGCCTTTACTTGGTGCCTGTTCTTTGGACGTCCGGTTGGTAGTCCACGTAGAGTTGGTGATCTTGACTATTGGAGAGAAACTTCCTTGAATAACGCTATAATTCTCCTGGAGATGACTCGGTGAACTTACTAGATCCGTGTGAGGTGAAGTGTCATTTCCAGGATATGAAAAAAAAAACGTGCTGAAATATTTTACAAGTAATTGAGTACATGCCAGTGCCTCGTCGCACATTTCCTTGACTCTTGACTCATCTCGTGGTTTCTTCAGCAAATACTAAAAGTAGTGAATAATATAAATTACCATCACAAACAAGTCTTTACCTTAGGTTAACAGAGTATTGAATAGTCATTGGCTGTCCTCTGAACTAAAAACACGATTGACCGTCTTTCTCTCTCTTCCCCGCAGAAATCGCTCTCTCGTTCGGACATCACTCCGCAGGAGTTTGAGGACAGCGGATTCTACCGAACACGCACCAAAGGCCTCTTCCGCATATGCTACCCGGAGACAAAACCCAAAGGAGGTGAGTACACTCGGTCGCCAGCCCACTTGTTGAGTCTTCTGCCATTGATTTTCTTTCCTTGAGGTGGTTCCGAGGATCAAATGTCCTCGCGGTCCGGTCTCTGACCAGGCTGCTTGGTTGGTGGTTAAGTAAAGCAGACTGTTAGTCGTCGGTGCTCGAAGTCTCGCCAACATTGGCTAGGTCTGTTGCCATGATATATAGGTAGCCTACATTGGTTAGGTCTACTGACATGATATAGATGTAGCTACAATGGTTAGGTCTACTGCCATAATACACAGGTAGCCTACTATGGTCTGCCTTGGCAAAACAAAATGCATTTGTTATATCGTAAAAAAAGATAAGAAGCACATTTTCAGCTCCTGTAGCCTACGATATTTTTTTCATTTGTTGAATATTGGCCGATTATTATGGGAACTAGGAATCGGGGAGCAGATTGTATGTTGGATGGTGGGCGCTGGTGGACCAGGACTTGAGGGCTGGGCAACAAGCCAAATAGTTTCGTGTTGTTAATCTGAATTGGAACATGGCGGTATTGGTGTCGTGTTCATGCGTGATTGGTGTCCAGCCTGTGCAGACACCTGGCCCCCACAGCACCAGCGACAGTGGGTAGGTACTACAGCTGAGATCCGAAAAAAGCTTTTCGATTAGTACTTGTCCATCTCGGCCACACTTGCTGCCCCCCTTCCCTGCGCCTCGTCGCGGGTTGCTAATGAAAATGGGAGTGGTGGACGCGTGTGGACCTCCGTCGGGTGAGGAGGCTCCGGGTGTAGTGAACTCGCCATAACGTGCCGCTTCCTCACTACACCTGCTTGGTGCTGTGAGGCGCGACGGTGTTGTAGAACCGCCGGGACACTGCATCTCTGGCCCATCCTCCTGTTTAGTTAGTACTTAAATAAATAAATAAATAAATAAATGTTTATTCAGGTAAGGTACATACAAGAGATTTTACAAAAATTGATCGATTTATAGAAAGAGCTAGTACATACAATGCCTAAAGCCACTATTACGCAAAGCGTTTCGGGCAGATAGGTCCTTCTTCTACTAGTACTTCTAGTAACGATGAGGACCATAGTATATATATGACGTAATGGAGAATTAGAAAGTAGAAATCTTTACTATTTGAATATGGACAAACCGGAAAAGGGTTTGTATTTGTTGCAAAGACAACCTGAACTAGTCCAACCTTTCTAGGCGTAATACACGATATGTGTAGCCTAATATGGTACATATATTACTAGGCCTATAAGGCCTTTAAGTTTTGTTTTTAGCTTGATTTTGTCAGTCTATGAAGTGAATAGTATCAAATTATACTTTCTAATTGTCTTTTATGTCAATTTTGTACTATGGTGCACATAGTTACAAAAAGTACTATGTAAACAGGAGGACGGGATGGCATCACTGGCCGCTCCCTTTTATCCACCCAACATTCCTCACCTCCTCCAGGCACTGCTGGAACACCCCCCCCCCCCCAAGGAACCCCAAGAAACACTTTCTAGGAAACAGAACCGTTCGAAGTGAGCGAAAATAATCATTACTTCCTCAGAATGAAAATGAGATACCAAGAGCATTGGCAGGATCAGTAACACCATCAGTATAGCTGGAGAGTCCACCAAGGTATAGCTGGAGAGTCCACCAGGGTATAGGTGGAGAGTCCACCGCGGTGAGCCGAAGGCGACCAGGGCGACCGTGTTGGTAGTGGTATGGCGTGGGGGGAAGGTAGGCTAGGAGGCGCGGCCCGACCTCTGGTACCGTTACCTCATGTCGTCACCCAGAAGGAACCGGGGTAATTGGCGGCTGTTGTGAGAATTCTTATTTGCCGCGCTGCTCTCTTCACTTTTCGCTACATTTAGGGCCCATAAAGACTAGGCTAGTGTTACAATTCTATAACGCGTTCCGCAGTTTATGGGCTGTTGTTCTATCAGTTTAGTGTTTGGCATTTGGTGTTAGGCTATGTTCATATTGATGGGTGCAGGGTGAGGTTAGAGCCTAGTGAGGTTAGACTAGAGGCTAGTGAGGTTAGAGCCTAGTGGCCTAGTCTAGAGCCTAGTGAGGTTAGACTAGAGCCTAGTGAGGTTAGACTAGAGCAGTGTTGGCCAGCGGTATTTCGAACACTGGATGTGAGAGCTCTTCTCCTAACACCTACCAGTTTTGTTTATTTTCTCTCTTCTCTCTCTCTACATTTGTGTCCTGTTTGCTTCATACAAGCATTTCCGACATTGGCTTAGTAGGCAAGACATGGGTTGCGCCACGTGGGGGGAGGGAGGGAAGGAGGTGGCTGGGGACAAGAGGGGGGGGGGTGGAAGTGACCTTAACGCCCCCATCCCTTCCCCACCATCCACCTCAAACACCGGTTCCCTACGCCTGGTTCCTCACTAGATGCGCTCTGCCCGTGATGCCAGCTTGTGCATTCATCACGGTGAAACATTCCACTTCTATTTACTAAAGTGTACGAATGATCTAACTTACTTTCTATTAATTTGTCAGAAAATTCTCACCAAATTGATTGAGAGAATTTTAATTAAAAACATTATTGACCATGCTTTAATACAAATTACAAATACATAAATACAATACATAAAATACATTTAATACAACGTGGCTATTAGTAACGGCTTGTACAAATTACATACATTTTTAATTGATCAATTCAAAAAGTGGTCTTGGTAAGATCATTAATACATAGTTATCCCATTAGGGGATGTCACTAGACAAATACTTATCGTTTACATGATCCACCAGACTGTGTGCACCTAGATCAGGACTTAAACCACGAAATTTGGTCAGTAGAACGAGCCGCCATGACTGTTCCTAGAACAATCACAAACATACAGAATATTAAGGAAGGGCTCTCTGAGATGCCTACATAATATTAAGGAAGGGCTCTCTGAGATGCCTACATAATATTAAGGAAGGGCTCTCTGAGATGCCTGCATAATATTAAGGAAGGGCTCTCTGAGATGCCTACAGAATATTAAGGAAGGGCTCTCTGAGATGCCTACATAATATTAAGGAAGGGCTCTCTGAGATGCCTACATAATATTAAGGAAGGGCTCTCTGAGATGCCTACATAATATTAAGGAAGGGCTCTCTGAGATGCCTACATAATAAGGAATGACCTGATTAACGATTGTTTTATTTAACATGGTCCATTAACCGATGCCAAACAACTGTGGGGCTGGTCCGTAGGGGAAGGTCAAGATCAAAGTTTTGACGTGAATTGTGACCTTTCAGGCGGTAAAGTAAAGCTTGAGGGCGTATAGGGAAAAGTCAACCAGGTGGTGGAGACCAGACTATTAACTCGTAAACGGCTTGAGGCGATGCAAATGTCATGCCAAGTTTCATTAGTGCAAGAGTGATGCTAGGCTACGCTACAGATTATAATACAACAGCCGATTAATCTGTGCTTAAACAAGATGCAAATTATTGTCTCGCCCCTTGACGTTTACACCACGGGACACATCAACCTCCCACTCCCCTTCATTAATATAATTTCATTGTAGTAGAGCTGAATTAATTTGGACAAGTGCACCCTCCGACGTATTTTCCTAGCGGGATTTGTAGCATGGGGGCCGGCTGGATCACACGGAGATATGTTTACATCGACGGTGGTGGTGTATTCTGTGTTGTGTTGCTCCACTGAGGACTGCCTGACGCCCAGACATGTGTCGTCAAGGCTGCAGGTACATTCCTTCATAAAGGCGGTTTCTCAACGATTTTGTTTGTATTAAAACCTTCTAACCGAACCAAGGTTAGCCTAGTAATATATATATATATATATATATATATATATATATATATATATATATATTATATATATATATATATATATATATATATATATATATATATATATATATATATATATATATATATATATATATATATATATATATATATATATATATATATATTATATATATATATATATATATATATATATATATATATATATATATATATATATATATACACACACAATTTTGTAGCTTTAAAACGAGCTGTGTACGAAACGCTTGTCATATGCTGGTTGGTATATAAGTCCTGTCGCACTGCTCAATAAATTGCTCAAGATTGGGCTTGTTGTGTGTGTGTGTGTGTGTGTGTGTGTGTGTGTGTGTGTGTGTGTGTGTGTGTGTGTGTGTGTGTGTGTGTGTGTGTACTCACCTATTTGTGTGTGCTGGATCGAGCATTAACTCTTGGATCCTGTGATCCAAAGGGTCAAGCAAGCCCCTTGGATCGTGGTGTGTGTGTACTCACCGAGTTGTGCTTTCGGGGGTTGAGCTCTGACTCTTTGGTCCCGCCTATCAACTGGTGTACAGATTCCTGAACCTACTGGGCTCTATCATATCTACATTTGAAACTGTATGGAATCAGCCTCCACCAGATTACTGCCTAATGCATTCCTAATGTTAACTACTGACACTGAAAAAATTCTTTCTAACGTCCCTGTGGCTCATTTGGGTACAGTACTCAGTTTTCACCTGTGTCCCCTTGTTCGCGTACCACCCGTGTTAAACAGTTTATCTTTATCTACCCTGTCAATTCCTCAGAATTGTGTAGGTAGTGATCATGTCTCCCCCTTACTCTTCTGTCTTCCAGTATCGTGAGGTATATTTCCCGCAGCCTTTCCTCGTAACTCATGCCTCTTAGTTCTGGGACTAGTCTAGTGGCATACCTCTGAACTTTTTCCAGCTTCGCCTTGTTCTTGACAAGGTACGGGTTCCATGCTGGGGCCGCATTATCCAGGATTGGTCTTACATATGTGGTATACAAGGTTCTGAATGATTCCTTACACAGGTTCCTGAAGGCAGTTCTGATGTTAGCCAGCCTCGCATATGCCGCAGACGTTATTCTCTTTATGTGGGCTTCAGGAGACAGGTTTGGTGTGATATCAACTCCCAGATCTTTCTTAGTTTCATGAAGGACTTCCTCCCCCATTCGGTATCCTGTGTCTGGCCTCCTGGTTCCACTGCCTAGTTTCATTACCTTACATTTACTCG